CAGCAGCCCTTAAAGCAAAAAGTAGCATCAGGGATAAAGGCAACAAAATATGCCAGGAAGATTATTCTAAACTTGGTGTTTCTAATAACACAGATTCCAGATATGGGATGTAAAGAAAAATGGACTAATTTACAAGCATAGTAGGAGAGTTTATTATTGTTATTAAAATCTTTTGTTAAGATAGGCTTTCACTCTGTTGCCCAGGCTGGAATGTAATGGTGCAATCATAGCTCATTGCAGCCTCAAATTCCTGAACTCAAGTGATCCTCCTGCCTCAATCTCCTGAGGGCTGCAGGTGTGCACTGCCGTGCCTGGCTAATGTTTTTATTTTTATTTTTCTGGTAATGGGGTCTCGCTGTGTTGCCCAGGCTGCTCTTAAACTCCTGCCCTCGGGCGATCTTTACACCTCAACCACCCAAAGTGTGGGTGTGAGCCATCATGCCCAACCAAGGAGAGTTTAATAGACTTTCTCTGATATTCAAATTAACTTGCCTTTTTCCCCTTTTGTTCACTTTTGTTTAATATGTCTTTGCCCATACTTCAGTTTTTAAAATTATTTATTTATTTACTTACTTATTTTTTTGAGATGTAGTCTCGCTCTGCCACTCAGGCTGGAGTGCAGTGGCACAATCTCATCTCACTGAACCTCTGCCTCCCAGGTTCAAGCAATTCTCCTGCCTCAGCCTCCCAAGTAGCTGGGATTACAGGTGCATGCTGCCACACCCTGCTAATTTTTGTACTTTTAGTAGACTCCTGACCTCAGGTGATCCTCTAACCTCGGTCTCCCAAAGTGCTGGGATCACAGTCATGAGCCACGGCGCCCAGCCATACTTCAATTTTTTAAGTTTTATTTTTTGCATCACATGTATGCATAATGTAAAGAATCAATGAATTCTACAAGTTAAAACAAATAGCACTCTGTAGCCCCTTTCTCCAATATCTCCTTCCCAAGAGGCAGCTACTCTCAATTCTTACACTTGATCCTGTTAATATTTATCTCCACATCTCCAAATAACATGCTTATATTGGGCCAGGTGTGGTGGCTCACACCTGTAATCCCAGCACTGTGGGAGGCCAAGGCAGGCAGATAGCTTGAGGTCAGGAGTTCGAGACCAGCCTGGCCAACATGGTGAAACCCTGCCTCTACTAAAAATTCAAAAAATTAGCTGGGCATAGTGGTGGACACCTGTAGTCCCAGCTACTTGAGAGGCTGAGGCACGAGGTTGACTCCTCACTCAGGCAGGTGAGGTTTTATTCCTTTTCCTACTCCTCCAGTCTACGTTCCTGCCCCTTCAGTTTCCCGGCATAGTTAAATGATAATTTAGTTAGCTTAGTACTCAAGATTTGCATTGTATGATATATATAGTATGATTACACTTCCTTCCCTGTACAACTTTTTATTGTATAAGAAGTTGCCTTTAGCCCGGCGTGGTGGCTCACGCCTATAATCCCAGCACTTTGGAAGGCTAAGGCAGGCAGATCACGAGGTTGGGGGCTCGAGACAAGCCTGATCAACATGGTGAAACCCGCTCTCTACTTAAAAATACAAAAATTAGCCAGCATGGTGGTGCACACCTGTAATCCCAGCTACTCGGGAGGCTGAGGCGGGAGAATCACTTGAACCTGGGAGGCAGATGTTGCAGTGAGCCAAGATTGTGCCACTGCAGTCTAGCCTGGGCAAGAAGAGTGAAATTCTATCTCAAAAAAAATTAAAATTAAAAATATTTTAAAAATTCCGTTCTTCAGTTACACTACTCACGTTTCAAGTGCTCAATGGCCACATGTGATTACTGGCCACTGTGTTAGACACAACAGATATTAGACCATCTCTATCAATTTGTACATTTCCAATGTACAAAGTTCTGTTGGACAGCATTGGTCTAACATATTAGCAATTTTTTCCTGCAATGATACTGCATAGCATCTCCAGAATTTCAGTGGTTTATATCCGAGGCGGGTGGACCACCAGGTCAGGAGATCGAGATGAGCCTGGCCAACATGGTGCAACCCCATCTCTACTAAAAATACAAAACATAGCTGGGTGTGGTGGTGCCTGCCTGTATTCCCAGCTACTTGGGAGCTGAGGCAGGAGAATCACTTGAACCCGGATGCGGATGTTGCAGTGAGCCAAGATCGCGCCACTGCCCTCCAGACTGGGCGACAAAAATGCAACTCCATCTAAAAAAAAAAAAAAAAAACATTTTTCTTGTTCAGAAGTCTCTTGAGCAGCTTCACTTGAGGTTGCAGGTTGGCTGGCCTTGGCTTTGGATTGCAGTTTAGGTTCAGATCTGCTTCATGTGTCTCTTATCCTCTTTGGATCAGGTATGTTCCTCTCATGACTAATAGCAGGAGTTCAAGAAGGCAGTCTAAACCAATCATATTCAATTAAGAGTCCATTGGCTAAAGCAAGTCACATGACCAAGCCTAATATCAGTGTCTGCAAGGAAAGGCTCTACAAAGTTACATAGCAAATGGTATGGTTGTATCATCCTACTATAAAGGAGTGAAGAAAAAAAAAAGTAAAGGACTGAAGAACTGGGAATAATAATCCCAGCTACTTCATGTTGTGCCAAACCCTTATCAAGACCAGCCTGTGCAACAAGGCCAAACTCCATCTCTACAAAAAATACAAAAGTTAGCTGGGTGTGGTGGTGTGCACTTGTAGTCCCAACTACTAGGGAGGCTGAAGCTGGTCTTGAACTTCTGGGCTCAAGCAGTCCTCCCACCTCAGCCTCCCAAAGTGCTGAGATTATAGGCATGAGCCACCACACCTGGCCATCTCCGTTGGAGTTGTCTCAAATATATCTATATATTTACCTTGGTGCCGTGTGTGTGTGTGTGTGTGTGTGTGTGTGTGTGTGTGTGATGAAAGTCTTGCTCTTATTGCCCAGGCTGGAGTGCAATGGCACAATCTCGGCTCACTGCAACCTCCACCTCCTGGGTTCAAGTGATTCTCCTGCCTCAGCTTCCTGAGTAGCTGGGATTATAGATGACTGTCACCACACCTGGCTACTAATTTTTGTATTTTTAGTAGAGATGGGGTTTCACCATGTTGGCCAGGCTGGTCTTGAACTCCTGACTTCAGGTGATCTGCCCACCTTGGCCTCCCACAGTGCTGGGATTACAGCCATGAGCCACTGCACCCAGCCAGTGAGTGCTCTTTCATATTAATATACATAGACAGAATTCTTTTTTTTTCAGATGGAGTTTAGCTCTTGTTACCCAGGCTGCAGTGCAATGGCGTGATCTCAGCTCATGGCAACCTCCGCCTCCTGGGTTCAGGCAATTCTCCTGCCTCAGCCTCCTGAGTAGCTGGGATTACACATAGACAGAATTCTTAAACTAACATTCATTCACTTGTATTTGCTGGTTTCTGTGTTCTGCTGGTCCCCCTCTTAGTTAACTTAAGGATGGGTACTTCGGATATCTGAACAATGAGCTCCAACATAACCTGATTTTTGCCCCTGGGCTGGCTCCCAATCTGGTTTAGGACTGTTAACAGGCTGGGCGAGGTGGCTCACTCCTGTAATCCAGCACTTTGGGAGGCAGAGTCAGGCCTGGCCAATGTGGCAAAACCCTGTCTCTATTGAAAACACAAAAATTAGCTGGGTGTGGTAGAGCATGCCTATAATCTCAGCTACTCGGGAGGCTGAGGCAGGAGAATCACTTGAGTCCAGGAGGTCGAGGCTGCAGTGAGCCGAGGTAGCCCCACTGCACAAAAAAAGGCTGTAGTAAAATAGCTGCTCTCATTCTTACCCCCTTAGCCAGTGAAAAGAGGGAGTGGGACAGGATAGAGCGTGACCAGTGCTTTAAGGGCTAAAACTGGGAGTGGGTCACACACTTCACCTCCTCTCCCATCCGCTCCTGGCCAGAATTTAGTCACATGAGCACATCTAGATCGCAGCCAGACACATGGTCACCAAACCAAAGGGAACGCTTGGGGAATAATCAGCAGTCCTTTCTCAGTGTTTAAGGTCTTAGTGAGAAGACACAGCGTGTGGGAGAAGTGAACAGACCTGCGTAGTCACCTTCCTAGTCGATAAATTGAATGGCTGGCACCACAGTTTGAGATTTCTTTCTTTCCTTTCTTCCACTCTATTCCCCTCCCTCCCACCCTCCCTCCCTTCTTCCTTTCCTTCCATCCCTTCCATCGAAACAGAGTCTCGCTCTTGTCACCCAGGCTGGAGGGCAATGGCGCCATCTCGGCTCACTGCAACCTCTACCTTCCTGCTTCAAGTGATTCTCCTGCCTCAGACTCCTGAAGTACCCGCCACCACGCCAGGCTCATTTCTGTATTTTAGTAGAGACGCGGTTTCACTATGTTGGTCAGGCTGGTCTCGAACTCCTGACCTCAGGTGATCCGCCTGCCTCGACCTCCCAAAGTGCTGGGGTTACGGGTGTGCGCCACCACGCCCAGCCAAACCTTTTGTTCTGTATTTTTAGTAGAGACGGGGTTTCACCACGTTGGCCAGGGTGGCCTCAATCTCCTGACCTCGTGATCCGCCCGCCTCGGCCTCCCAAAGTGCTGGGATTACAGGCGTGAGCCACTGCGCCCGGCCATGAGATTTCTTTCTTTTTTTTTTTTTTAAGACGGGATTTCACCATGTTGGTCAGGCTGGTCTTGAACAGGTGATCCGCCCGCCTTGGCCTCCAAAGTGCTTGGATTACAGGCGTCAGCCACCGCGCCCATGAGATTTCTTAACGTCAAGGAAGCGTCAAATGGTAAACGGTCCCTGCTAGCCGGGTCGCAAGACTGAGGGCGAGGCAGCCACCCTACGGCGGGGCCGCGGGCGGTCGAAAGCGCGCGCCCGGCGATGGGGCGTGCCCAGGCAGAGAGGCGGGGCTCCGCCAAGCGCGGCGCTGTGGCTGGTGGTGATACGCATTGGGGCGGGGCTTCCCAACTGAGCGCCCCGGCTAGAGCGAAGGGGCGTGGTCACTCATAGGCTACTGGGGGCGAGGTTAAGCAACCATAGAATTTCGCAGCCAGAATGGGTGGGTCTCAGCGATCCTGAAAGCAGCCTGGACAGCCACACGCCAGTCAGGTGGAAAAGTTGGCCGTGCTTAGGGAAGTGAGGCGGGATCGATGCACTTGAGGGCCTGAGCCGCGCGGCGTGACGTCGGGGGCGCGGTTTTGTGGCGTTTGGGCGGACGCTGCGCCGAGGGGCGGCGCTGGGCGCGCGCTCCAAAATGGCGGCGAACGTGTTCCCGTTCCGCGACGCCCGGGCAGCACCCGACCCGGTGCTGGAGGCCGGCCCGGTGGCACACGGTCCACTGCCAGTACCGCTGGTGCTGGACAACGGGTCGTTCCAAGTCCGCGCTGGCTGGGCGTGTCCTGGGCAGGACCCAGGTCCCGAGCCGCGCCTGCAGTTCCGCGCAGTGTGTGCCCGCGGTCGTGGAGGGGCACGGGGCGGGTCGGGCCCGCAGGTGGGCAATGCCTTGGGCAGCCTGGAGCCACTGCGCTGGATGCTGCGCTCGCCCTTCGACCGCAACGTGCCAGTCAACCTGGAGCTTCAGGAGCTGCTGCTGGACTACAGTTTCCAGCACCTGGGTGTCTCCTCACAGGTGAAGGGCGGAGTGGGCTGGGTTGGGCTTGAGGGGAGGGGTGCGGTCTCAGCTCCGCTCACTCTGCTCACTCTGCACTGGGAGAGGTAACAGTCACTTCAGTAGTTCCGATTGTCTTTTAGTGGATCAGATGCTAGGCGCTGGAGGTACAGCAGCGAATAAAAGGCTGCTCCTTGTATCTTGGAGCATACATTTGGGCATATATGCTCGTTTTTTAAGAAGCTCATTTATTAACAAATATGTATTGAGCACTTACTTTGTGTCAGGCACTTTTTAGGCATTTGGAGTACATCTGTGAACACACAAAACTTCCTGTGCTTATGGAGCGATTAATACTATGGAAAGATATTCTGGTATGAAAACGCAGACAGTAAACAGAATTAAGTAGTAGATTCTATGCTATGATAGGACAGGAGGGGGTTACATTTTTTTCAATAAAATGGTCAGAGTAGGACTCATGGCGAAGGTGATATTTGAGCAAGGGCTTGAAGGACGTGATTCAGGTAGCAAGCCATGTGAATATCTGAAGGAAAAGCAGTCCAGGCAGAGGTAACAGCCAGTGAATAGGTCCTGAGGCAGGAGTGTGCCCCAATCCTAATTGCAAGGCTGCCTGTGTTGGGGGAGAGTAGTACGTGGAAGAGGACGTCAGAGAGGAAGTGGAGAGGCAAGTCACACACCTGGTAGGCTTTTTACTCTGAGTGAAATGGGGAGCCATGGCAGGGCGTTGAGCTGAGGCAGGACCTGAATTATGTTTCAAAAGGATCACTATGACTGCTGTATGCAGAATGAACTGTCATGGGTCATAGGGTGGAAACAGGGACAAGTTAGGAGGCTATTGCAATAACCCAGGTGAGGGATAATGGTGACTTAGACGAGGCAGGTAGCAGGGAATGTGATTAGAAGCAGTTGGATTGGAGAGATACTTGGAAGATGGAGCCAACACGATTTGCTCACAGTTTGGATGGGACCTTGACTTAATAACTTAAATTGACTCTACTTTTGTATTTTCCAGTAAAAATAAGATGAGTTTTACAGTTGTCTATGATCAGGTTTTTGATTAAGAGACCAAAAGCAAATTCAGCCCCGCAATAAGGATTTTGGGTTCTTTTATGCTTCAAAAAGAGTATTCTGTTGTCCCTTATCTATTTGCCCTTTCCTTTCAAAGTAGGGCTGCGTTGATCATCCCATAGTTTTGACAGAAGCTGTGTGCAACCCGCTGTATTCACGGCAAATGATGTCCGAGCTTCTTTTTGAGTGCTACAGGATTCCCAAGGTTGCCTATGGAATAGACAGTCTGTTCAGCTTCTACCACAATAAGCCAAGGAACTCGATGTGCAGTGGGCTCATCATTTCATCTGGATACCAGTGTACGCATATTTTACCCATCTTAGAGGGGAGGTGAGTTGCACTTGTGGCATTTGAGTGCTATTTTGAGAAGCATTCAGGAAACATTTATTTAATGTGTGCTTTAATGGCAGAGTAGAAAGAGCAAGTCCTAGCCTACGAACTGAGCAGTTGGGCTTTGAACTACCTCACTGTGTGTGGGTAAGTCCCTTTGTCCATATTTCTGTCCTTTGTGACCTTCTGGAGGGAGTTGGAGTGGATGATCTCTTAGTTCTACGTCCATAATTCTACAATTTTATAATTCTGACTTATGGGGAGATAGCTAACATGGTATCTGCAGGTGGTAGGCATTCAGTAGAAGTGTTTTGAATAACTTTTTTTTTCTTGAGACAGTCTCACTCTGTTGCCCAGGCTGGAGTACAGTGTGGCGATCTCAGCTCCCTGCAGCCCCTGCCTCCTGGGTTCAAGTGAGTCTCCTGCCTCAGCCTCCTGAATAGCTGGGACTACAGGCACGCACCACCACACCCAGCTAATTTTTGTATTTTTAGTACAGACGAGGTTTCACCGTGTTGGCCAGGGTGGTCTTGATTGCCTGACCTTGTGATCCACCCACCTCGGCCTCCCAAAGTGTGGGGATTACAGGCATTAGCCACCACCCCGGCCTTGAATAACTTTAATTGAAAAACATCTTTGTGTTCTGGAGTCACTTCTTTTTTCTTTTCTTCTTTTTTTTTTTTTTTTTTTTTGAGACAGAGTCTTGGTCACCCAGGCTGGAGTGCAGTGGCATGGTCTCGGCTCACTGCAACCTCTGCCTCTTGGGCTGAATCAGTTCTCCTGCCTCAGCCTCCCGAGTAGCTGGGACTGCAGGCACTCGCCACCATGCCTGACTAATTTTTTTTTTGTATTTTTAGTAGAGATGGGATTTTACCATGTTGGTCAGGCTGGTCTCAAACTCCTGACCTCAAGTGATCCACCCTCCTTGGCCTCTGAAAGTGCTGGGGTTACAGGGGTGAGCCACTGCATCCAGCCAATTTAAAGGTCTTTAATCGCTGTTGTTCAGACCTTTCAGGTACAGTGCCTGGCATATAATGGACCCTTATTAAATATTTTCAAGTTGAATACAAGGCAAAGGTAGTTTACGTTATATTTAAAAATCCGTTCCCACTTTATCGCAGAGCTTTCACTGTCTGCTAAGAGCCTAGGCCAGCACTGTGGTTTCCTGAGAAGGTTTCTCACATGTCAGAGAGACCCAGCCTTTGGAACTGAATGCCTGGGTTTGCAGCTCTTCTGCTACTTAACTTCCTCACTTCATTTCCTGACATACAATTGGGAAAAACTGATTTCCCAGGGTTACCCTGAGAATGAAATGAGATAAGGTAGGTAATGGCACTTTGTGAACTGTAAAGCAGACTGAACATATAAAGACAAATCCCATTGAATGTCTCATGAAGTTTCTGTGAAAATCTATGAAGGAAACAGTAATTCTTAGGCATTACCAAACACTTCTGATGTATGGAGTTCTCTATTTTATGTAAACAGAATATGCAGAAATAAAAAATGACATGTTATTTTTATGTTATACTGAGAGAAAATTATTTTACCTGAAGGCTGGGAAATTATCAGAGTGAATCATATCCTGTTATATGCTGGCATCTGCTGGTGAGGTATGATACAGCAGCCATATTTTAGTTCCCTCCAGCCGGTTCCTAGTGCTCTGCCACTCTTTCTCACATTAGGAAAATGAAATTACTCTGATTCTTTTACAGTATACCAGGATGCATGTGGTTACTTAATGTGTTTGCATCAGTAGGTATGGAGTGTTTAGGAGAGGGCATCTTAAACTCTGGCCCATGCCAGTTACCTAGGGAGCTTGTTAAAATGCATATTCCCAGGCCCACACCAGAGCAGCTGTGTCCTGTGAATTGGCATGTTCAACATTTCCCCCAGCTAATTCTGGGATACTTGGTCCCAGAACTACAGTTTGAGAAATACGTGATGAGACTCATTAAGATCCGACTTTGGAGTGCATCTTCTTCCTGTTTAGATGGCCATGTGACTATGGTGAACTGGGAATTCCTGCCTAGATAAGAGGTTGCACCAAGGGAACGTTAATGTCCCTTCCTTCCAACTGTCAGGTTTTGTGTTTTTCCTGCCGGTCTGTTTCTTCTCTTTCTGCCTTAAATTATCTTGTTTCTCCCAAGATGCTCCATACCCTGCCCTTCATGTTGCCAGAAATTTCAGTGCTATTTTCTACTGCTTGGTTATAGATTAGATGCTAAAAACTGCAAGCGCATCAATCTTGGAGGAAGCCAAACAGCTGGTTACCTCCAGCGTCTCCTCCAGCTGAAGTATCCTGGGCACCTGGCAGCCATCACCCTCAGCCGCATGGAGGAGATTCTGCATGAGCACAGCTACATCGCTGAGAATTATGTAGAAGGTAACGAAGAGGATGTCTGCCTGCAGCTTTTGGGTGTTGTCTACTTTGGGGTATTCCTTAAATTACTGCCGGCATGATTCTTTGCCTGTTCACTTTTTAAGCACCCCTTCCCTTTTTGTATTTCCTTTCTTAAACTATTCAGTAAACTGAATAGCTTAGTTATATAGGTTCCCTTCACAGATGGTAGCTTTTATAACTTGCCTGTAATACAGATCTTGGGATTGTACAACTTTCAACTTTTGCCAGATAGTAAACATTTAAGTTTTAAGAGTGAGCAGAACATATCAGACTAAAAATATTTTAAATTAGAAAACAATTCAAATTGTTTTATTATACCATTAGAATAACAGCTATGCCCAGAAACACGTCTTTCTCTTTTCAAGCTTGTCGTAAAGTTTTGGGTGTATTTTACTTCAAATTAAAGTGTGAGTTTTAGCTACTATTGTCTTGTCACATCAGTGTGATGAAAATATCTTCCTCATGAATTTAAATAGTTCATATAAAACCAAAGGACTGTGGACAATGTCACTGTGAATACAACTCTGTTCCAAGAATGGATTTGCTTGTTGTCATTGAAGGTGCCGACTTCAGCTGACCAATAATGAATTCCCGAAGGGCAAAAGTTTCATCTTTTTTTTTTTTTTTTTTTTTTAAATTGTGGTGAAAACCACATAACAGCTGGGTGCAGTGGCTCACGCCTGTAATCTCCCAGCATTTTGGGAGGCTGAGGTGGGTGGATCATAAGGTCAGGAGATCGAGACCATCCTGGCCAACATTGTGAAACCCCGTCTGTATTAATAATACAAAAATTTGCTGAATGTGGTGGTGTGTGCCTGTAATCCCAGCTACTTGGTAGGCTGAGGCAGGAGAATCGCTTGAACCAGGGAGCCGGAGGTTGCAGAGAGCGGAGATTGCGCCACTGCACTCCAGCCTGGCAACAGAGTGAGACTCCATCTCAAAAAAAAAAGCCACATAAAATAATTTGCCATTTTCACCATTTTTAAGTATATATTTCATATGTTAAGAGCTGTGTCTTATTAACTTTAAAAAGCATTTATTAGGCACCTGTTATTCCTGGGATACAAAGCAGTTGGGGAGACAGATACAGAAATAAATAATTGATAAGAACACTCAGTCCCGAGAGTTAGAGGCCAGAAGACACAGCTGAAGCACACAGCTCTTTGTGCTCTCACTTCCTTGTTCTCCAGGTGCTCTGGTATTGACTCTTTTGTCAGCCAACTTTTTCTTGTAAAATTCTATGAATTTTAACAAATAAAGATCTATGTAACTAACACCACAATCAGGATACAGAACCGTTCCATTATCCCCCCAAATTTCCTCATGCTGTCGCTTTATAATCATATCCTGTCTCCATCCCAAGCCCAGGCAGTCTTCCCCTGACTTCTTCTATGGTTTTATCTTTTCAAAATGTCACGTAAATGGAATCAAATAGTATGTACCTTTTTGAAAGTTTTCCTTTTTACTCAACGTTATGCCTTTGATTTACTCAACATCATGCCTTTGAGATTCATCTAAGTTGTTGAGTGTGTCAGTAGTTTGTTCCTGTTTACTGGGGAGAATGTGTTCATTGAATGGATGTGCGGCAGCTTGTTTATCAATTCACCATTAAGGATCATTTGGGTTGTTCCCAGTTTTTGGTGGTTATACGTAGAGCTACTGTACGTGTTCATGTACAAGCTTTTGGGTGAACTTGTTTTCATTTCTCCAGAGTAAATAGATTGCTGGGTCACGTGCTTGCATGGTGTGTCTTTCTGTCCTTTTACTTGTAACCTACCTATATCATTATATTCAAAGTGAGTTCCTTAGTAGTTGTATCATTTAAAAAAAAAATCTATTCAGTCAACCTCTATTGTTTAATTCTTAAGTTAAAACCATTTATAATGTGCTTAATTATTTGTATGCTTGGGTTTAGGTTCACCATTTTATTATTCATTTTTGTTCCTTCTGTTTATTGTTCCTCTGTTTCTCTCTCCTGCCTTCTTTGAGGTTATTTGAGGTTTTTTCTTTTTTTAAATATTTTATCTGTTGTGTTTTTTACTGTACCCTTTTACTGTAGTTTTTAGTGGTTTCTCTAGAGCTTACAGTAAACACAACTTTTCACAGTCTACGTAGAATCTGTATTTACCACTTCAAGGGGAATGCGGCAATGTGGTTAGCACTGTACAGGCTCCTTTATTTTGCCCTGTTTATCTTAGAGTTGTCTTATTTATTTCCTCTATATACATTGCAAACACATCAGACAGTGTCGTGATTTTTACTTTCAGTTGCCAAATGGGTTTTAAAGAACTCATAAGGAGATTAGTCTGTTATGTTTAACCAGATTTTCATCATTTCTGTTGCTCTTCCTTCATTCCTGATGTTTCAAGCTTCCTTCTGGTGTTGTTTCTATCTGAAGAACTTTACTTAGCAGTTCCTTTAGAATGGGCCTGCTGGCATTATGTCCCAAGTTAGACAGCTGCTTTTAGTTGATTGAGTGGATTCAGGGATTGGATGGAGTGTGTTTTCTCCATTTGACCTATATCTGGAATGCTGCTATTGACTTTAACTGTTGTGTTAATAGTGTTTCCATTTCCTAACTTTCAAAATTGTTTCTTCGAAGAATTACACAAATGGCGGTGTCCTGATTATTATGAGAATAATGTCCACAAGATGCAGCTCCCATTTTCCAGCAAGCTCCTGGGCAGCACTCTGACCTCTGAGGAGAAACAAGAAAGGCGGCAGCAGCAATTGCGGCGGCTGCAGGAGCTCAATGCCCGGCGGCGAGAGGAGAAGCTGCAGCTGGATCAGGAGCGGCTGGACCGACTGCTGTACGTGCAGGTAAGAGCAGACACCCAGCCGTGCCAACAAGATGGTCTCAGAAGACTTTCTTGTGTGTTTTTCCTTGGCCTTAAGATGCTTTGACTGTTTGTCACCTTTGGAGTCCAGGGAAATCATCAGCATAGAGTACAGTTTAGAAGCAGCTGTTTCCGAAAGAGCTGTGGACTCCAGCATTATTTATTTTCACCTTATAAACTCCATTTTTTTTTTAAAACTTTTCAATTTTAGTGTAGCATACATGATGCAAAACGCACAAATCTTTATGTTTCATCTTGATGGATTTTCAAAGTGAAACTCACCCATATGTCTGCTGTCAGGTCAAGAAACAGCATTATCAGCATCCCAGAAGCCTCCTTTCATGTCTCCTCTTAGTAACTTTCCTATTTTCTTCCACATGCCCCCCACCGGCCCCCCCAAAAAAAGGTAACAACCTTTTAGACATCCATCACCACCTTATCAGTTTTACTTAATCAGATGTTGCTGGAACTGTGATGCAGTGCTAGCCCAGAGACAGCTGTGGGAAACTGGAGGGAGCTGGAGGTGTGACTCTGTGCAGGGTAGACCAGGGGAGCTCTGGAAGCCCTCTCCAGCTGTAGTTTTCTCTGTTTGGCTTAGAAGCTACTTTCCTTCCTGTTTGTGACTGCTCTGTTTTCAGGAACTTCTAGAGGATGGCCAGATGGATCAGTTTCACAAAGCTCTGATAGAGCTGAATATGGACTCCCCAGAAGAACTGCAGTCCTACATACAGAAGCTCAGTGCCGCAGTAGAGCAGGCTAAGCAGAAAATCCTCCAAGCGGAAGTCAACCTCGAGGTGGATGTGGTAGACAGCAAGCCAGAGGTAACTGAGAGCCTTAGAAGGAGCAGTCCTTCTTGAGGGAAGGAGTGTCCTGAAGAGGGCTGACATCAAAGGGGGTTGTGTCCAGAGTCAGGAGGAGAAGAGAGCAGAGGGGACATGGTGGTGGCAGAGATGGCACTGACCTTGTACCCACTGAAGTTTTACCAGAAGGGATTTCACCCTGTAGATCCCCAATCCCTGAGAGCAGAAAGTGCATTTAACATAGGAAGAACATTCACACACCAAACCTGTGGTGCTGTCTTGAACCTAAACCAGCTCCACTGATAGTCAGTGGCAGTCATACACATCCTTTAATTTTCTTCTCGCGTTTTATTAAATATGTTATGGTTGATCGTTCACTTACCTTCTTTCCATCTTGATGTTCCCTAAGGACAGGGATCATGCTTTCATACACGATTTATGAATTTTTGACAGCAGCTGGTAGTTATACTCAGGAATACATTTATAGATTGCCTTAAGATCAGCCTTTTATTAGTTCCTAAGACCCTTTGAATAAGCTCTTTGATTTTCTCTTTGTCTCTCTTCTGTTTCCTCACCAGTGCACTGTTAAGAAGTGTTTTTGAAGCCGGGCATGTTGGTTCACGCTTGTAATCCCAGCACTTTGGGAGGCCGAGGTAGGTGGATCACCTGAGGTCAGGAGTTTGAGACTGGCCTGGCCAACGTGGTGAAACCCTGTCTCTACTAAAAATACAAAATTAACCAGGTGTGGTGGCACGTGCCTGTAATCCCAGCTACATGGGAGGCTAAGGCAGGAGAATTGCTTGAAACTGGGAAGTAGAGGTTGCAGTGATCTGAGATCATGCCATTGCACACCAGTCTGGGTAACAAGAGCAAAACTCTGTCTCAAAAAATAATAATAATAAGTGTTTTTGTTTGAGACAGGGTCTCACTTTGTTGCCCAGTTGGCAGGCAGTTACATGATCATAGCTCAGTGTAACTCAAATTCCTGGGCTTAAGTGGATCCTCCCATCTCAGCCTCCTATGTAGCTAGCCTCCTATGTACCACAGGTGAGCACCACCATGCCCAACTCAATTTTTGTAGAGGTGGGGTCTTACCATGTTATTCAGGCTGGTCTCAATCTCCTGGCTTCAAGTGAACGTTTCACTTCAGCCTCCCAAAGCACTCAGATGACAGGTTTGAGCCACGATACTGGCTGTTAGTAAGTGTCGATGTGGCCAAAAGAGCTTAGACCCTAGCATCTTGGCGCCTGTATGGTAGGGGGCAGCCTGTGGGTCACTCCTCAGTCCAGAAGTCACCAGTTGAGTCTCCTTCCTTTCGAACTGGAACAAAAAGTTAGTAAGTGTACATACTGTTTCTGGATCGGTCATGCCTAGGATTCCAAAACAAAGGAACTTATTCATTGCCTTGAGACATGTTTTGGGCAGGATAAACCAGACTCTCCTCTTGTCTTTGTTTTTTTTTTTTTTTAAATAAACTTTTATTATGCTTTTGATTACCTATCCTTTTAGAAAAAAAACGATACTTTGGAAAAACCCAAGTCAGTGCCATTTGATGCTGGGTGTAGCATGGTGCTCGTCAGTGATGTCAGAGCTGCCTTTGGCTCAGAAGGAAGCTTGGTTTTGCAGTGATGGGCTACCAGTCGGAGGCTCACTCATAGTTTCTGCTCTCACCATTGCATTCTCTACGTCTCGTTGACAGGCTGTAGACTATGTGAGGACAGTACATGAGCATATGCTCTATAGAGTAGATCCTGAGATAGGCTTCCGATATACACCTTACTGAATCACTAAGATCTTGTGTAGAAGGGGCCTTTACCATCTTCTTCCAACACGGCATCCTCAGTTGAATGAGTGTGCCTTTTCCATTTTGCTGCTCTTGGTTTTCAGGTCTTTATTTCAGATTTGAGCTTTTGTTTACTGAAATCCAGAACCATGCTGTCTTTGTTATGTATTCATCCATATTTAGTTTTTATCATGCGTGACACGTTAGCAGGACATACTCTTCTTTATACCAAAGCAGTACCACTAAGTCACATGCAGACAAGGGATTTCAGATTTCAGAAGGGAAAAAAAAATAAAAAGCAGCTGTGAAGATATGATTCTTCAGCAGTGGGAAACTAGCGTTTCCTTTTCTTTGTTCATTTGTCTGCATTTGTTACATGCTGTGATTCACCACCCATTCCTCCGTTCTTACATCAGATACTTAGTAGGCACCTACTTCATTTTAGGCTCTGGCACATACATTTAAATCTCCTTGAGTTGGGGGATTTTGAAATGTTGGACTTCAAAAGATTTTTCTATATGCACAAGTTTGATGATCAGTCGGGCTGGTCATGGCAGCTCACACCTGTAATCCCAGCATTTTGGGAGGCCGAAGCGGGCAGATCATCTGAGGCCAGGAATTCTAGACCAGTCTGGCCAACATGGTGAAACCCTGTCTCTACTAAAGATACAAAAATGAGCCAGGTGTGATGACAGGCGCCTATAGTCTCAGCTACTCGGGAGGCTAAGGCGGGAGAATTGCTTGAACCGGGGAGGTAGAGGTTGTAGTGAGCTGGGATTGCACCATTGTACTCCAGCCTGGGTGACAGAGTGAGACTCCGTCTCCAAAAAAAAAAAAAAAAAAATGATGATCAGTCACCAAAGCGTTAATGGTTAGTCAGCATTTTAGGGTCATTCTTAATGATTAAAGTCAATTACAGTCACATTTATGGGATAGATTTGACCATGGCACTGGCTAGCCAGTTCTGCCTTTCAAAAAGTATTTTCTAACAATGTAATTCATTTAGAATGAATTGAATGGGTATATGTGAACCAAAATTCATATTGAAATACCACTTAAGCAATAATGGCTGAATTGAATTAATATAGCTGGAATTTTACTTATAGTGGTCCCAAAAATCTATTTTTTCTTATAGGCCAATCTATTCTGGCCCTTGCTATTCTGCAGTTATTCCTGTGAGTATGTTGTGAAGGGGCAGGTTTTGTTAGCATTCAAATGAAGCATTTAAACCAGAAGATGATTACTTTTTGTAGCTACAAGCACAGCATAAGAGGGTAGGAGGGGGAGAACACAGTTTTTGAGCATCATCATTTGTTGGAAAACACAATGGGCCAAATATGGAAAGTTTTCTGGCTTTATTAGCCAAGATCAGGGTTGGCCTCTGCTGCTTCTTATTCCGCTCAAGGCTGTTTTAGGGAGCTATGCTACATCTTCTGTGATAGGCCTTGGCAAACTGTCATTCCATGCAGAGCAGTCATATTAGTGTTCCAAAAGAACACTAATATTCCAAAAGAACAGTCATATTAGTGTTTCTGAACACCACATAAGACGTGTGGAGACCCTGGCAAACTCTAGCGGGGGAGAAGCCAGCTGTGGCAGAGAAAACTATTCTCTGTTGGATGTCTGTTCTCTGTGATGAAATTTTGTCAGCTTTGTTCCTCTCTGTGAATCATATGAATTGGGATAAGTAAATATCCTTTTAATAATTTTTGTAAAGCTAAGAAGTTACCTTAAGATGGTATGCTTTGGAATGAAGCTAGGTGAAGGTGAATATTGATTTTTTTTTTTTTTTTTTGGCATCTGAAGACACCTCTTGGAAACCAAAGCTTTACAATCACCTCTATTCCAGGGAAATTTGAGGGCATATCCCAGGGGCCCACCACTCAGTGCCAGGCATAGTATACCAGGGATGCAGAGGTGATTAAGATACAATTCCTCCTTCCTGGGTACCTCAAAAACAAAAAAACGAGGGCTGTAGCACCATGCTTAGCTGACTAATGGAGCGTAGCAGGTGTGGTGGTAAATGTGTGTGAGAATACACATTTGGTTTTTTGAGAAAGGATAATGTTTCAGGAGGCCCTTGAAAGATTATTTGGGCTGGGCACAGTGGCTCACATCTGTAATTCCAACACTGAGAGGCTAAGGAGGGAGAATCACTTGAACCCAGGAGTTTGAGACCAACCCCTGAGCCACATAGACCGCCATCTCTAAAAAAAAAATTTTTTTTAATTAGCTGGGCATGCATCTGTAGTTCCAGCTGCTTGAGAGGAGTTCGAGGCTGCAGTGAGCCGTGGTTGTGCCACTGCATTCCAGCCTGGGCAACAGAATGAGACCCTGTCTTAAAAAAAAAAAAGGAAGATTATTTGATTTCAGTAGGTAGCAAAGGAGGAGGGAAGGACATTTTAGGTGGAAAGAACCACACATGCCGGTATATGTAGTGTGAACAAGAAAGGCTGTGGTGGGTAATGAAGTGGAGGTGACTATTAAGATCTTTACTCATCAGGCTTACGAGCCTGCATGTCATCCTTCAGACACCCAGAGCCTTTCAGGGATGTTGAGCAAGGGTAACAAGACGGTGAGGTTTCGTTTTGGGAAACTAATTGGCAGCAGTTAGGATGATGGGTTGAAGGGGGGAGGGGTGAGGCTGCAGGTGGCAAAACAAAACAAAAAGTGTTGTATTGTACAGAAGAGAGCCAGTGTGGACCTGAAATGTGTCAGCAGCCTTGGGGATGGAGGGTGGAGAAGGAGACACTTGAGATGTAGGATCCCAAGATCTTGCTGCCATTTACAAGCCAAGGTGACAAGAGTAGCAGTGGCTGTTGATAATAGAGCATGTGGCATGTGCTGACCCCTTGCTGAGCACTTACACAGGTGTCCTTCTGGTTAGGGTTAGGGTAGGTATACAAGTCAGCATGTATGTGCTGTTGTTATCCCACTTTTTCAGACAAGGAAGGATTTGGAGTGAGGTCACTTAGCTAGAAGTAGTGCTGGTCAGATTCAAACACAAGCCATTCAGTTCCAGATTCCACTCTTATAACTCTTAGGCTGTATCGAAAGGTAGTAGGTAGATGGTAGTGCCCTTGACCAAGTTTGGGAAGATAAAATTAGCTCAGTTTTGAGCACCATTTTTTTTTTTTTTTTAAGAGATTGGATCTTGCCAGGCATGGTGGCGCATGCCTGTAGTCCCAGCTACTTGGGAGGCTGAGGTGGGAGGATCGCTTGAGCCCAGGAGTTCTGG